CAACAATCCCACCAAGAGTCGGCGAATAGCATCCTCGATCCTTTCCTCTCTCTTGTAGAAGGTCTTCGAGGTAGGAGATACTATTCTAATAATCCCACTTCGTATCCCTCGTTTAAGCACGCAGAAGCAATGTCGTCATCGCCCTCGCCACCTAGACCCTAGACTTATCCTAGTCCGATGATTCATATGTTGCGTTAAGAAATTTCCCCAATTGCCAGGAGAATTTGAGTGTAATATTCAAACTCAAATCCCGATGCAATGAGTTTTATTGTAGGTTAAGTCATTGAGGGAATTTCACTGGTGATTTAATTAAGGAAGCATGAATTACGCCTCGATGCGTCCTGTCTAGTGTCTTAGTCAGTTTGTGAATTAGGGTCAAGTGTCTAGTTTCACTGTGCATTTGAGGATTAGGTGAATGGACTCTTACCTAAGGTATGCTCCTAAAACCTTAGGAGATTACACTGTAGAGATTAGGTAGATGGACTCTCACTTAGGGTGTGCTCCTAAAATCTAGAAAGTCTATGCTGAGAATTATGTGGATGGACTCTCACCTAGGGTGTGCTCCTAAAATCTAGGAAGCCTATGCTGAGTTAGGTGAATGGATTCTCACCTAGGGTGTGCTCCTAAAATCTAGGAAGCCTATGCTGAGTTAGGTGGATGGATTCTCTCCTAGGGTGTGCTCCTAAAATCTAGGAAGACTATGCTGAGGTTTAGGTGGATGAACTCTCACCTAGGGTGTGTGCTTAAGCTCTAGGAAGCCTACACTGAGGACTAGATGGATGGGCTCTCACCTAAGGTGTGCTCCTAAAACTCTAGGAAACCTACTCTTTAACTTATGCTTAAGGTGATTTAAGGTTTTCTATATCTTCGAATTAATTAAATCATCAATCCTCATCTTTATGACTTAACCATTTAAAAATAAATAAAACAAAATAAGAAAGAGGTCAACCAACCTCTAAAACTAGCAAAGCCGAAAGGGGGAAAACAACAAGTGAATCTACCTAAAAAGAAACGTTTAAATGATAATTAAGTAAGACCCAAAACATTAGATAAAGCTCTCCAAATCCAGCCTCAAAATAGTAAATAAAGTTATTAAACTCAACCCCAAAAACAGTAGGCAAAACTCTCAACAAAAATTGCCTTTTTGTAGGTGTTTGAGAACAAAACACTAAATAGAAACAATCAATGACATAACTTGTTGTAGCATTATAGAAATAGGCATGTCATGCCAAAACCAAGGGATGAACTGCCCAACTTTCAAATTTAATGAACTTTATAAAGTAATCACACACAATGTTATAAATTCTCTAGAGACAATTTGTAATGATAAATCACTGTTTAAAGAACATGTGTCATTAAAGGTGCAGAAGGACTAATGACATTCAATACGATTCACTAAAAAAATGAAATTTATCAAAGTTATGCAGCCCATAAATGATCATCTTTTGCATTCAAATGTAAGTAGTTACAAATTCCAAGAAGTTCAGCTCTGTGTTAGTTGCAATCTCGTCACTGCCTCCTTGCTAACGTCGATCGTTGAAAATTCAATTGGGACAGCAATGGTTTAAGGCGAATCGGGATCGAGAGGGATAGATAGGGTCGAGCAAGGGCAAACAGTGCAGAGATGGGAAGCGAAATGTGTGCGGGATTCGTCGCGAGGGAGAAAGGGGATGAATCGGGCGGCCTCGGTGCAGAGGCAAGATCGATTAAGGGTTTCGGTGGAGGCGATGGGGAAGGCTAGGATTTCTGTTCGCAGAGGAGGCGTGGGTGAGACGCAAGAGGAGCGGGAGAAGCGAGAGTCGAGTGGGGGATGATGTGCGGCTTCAGTGCGTTTGACAGAATCAAACAGAGAGCGGGCCTCTGCGGGGAAGATACAGGAGACGGGAGCGGGAGACGAAGAAGCAAGCCAGGCGGGGGGGAAGACGAGCGGAGGAGCGGGGGCTTTGGTTTGCAGAGGGCGGAAGGCGAGCAGAATCTTCGATCGATCGCAGGAGACCAACAGAAGCTTCGATCAGAGAGGCAGAGACGTGCCTAGCGTTTCGTGAAGAAGAGTCGAAGGAGATGAATCGTACCGAGAGGGGAGGAAGAAGGCGGGCTCTAAAGGAAGACGAGAGTTTCGAGCAGGAGGGACGAAGCGGGCGAATCCGATGCTTGAAAACGGATCGGGAGAAAAGGAGAGCCACAGACTTTGGTGACAGAGAGAAGCGTGAGCAGCCGGAAGTAGCTAGATCGAGCGTGAGAGTGAGGAGTTAAATCCAGAGCCTCGAGCCTCGTCAAGGGGAAGAGTATATCAGAAATTTCAGAGAGACGTTATGCGAAACTTTGGCGGGAGATTGATTGAATTCCTTTTTGATGCAGCAGGTTCAAAAGGAAAATCTTTAACTCTCAATTAAAATGAAAGTAAATGACCCATTTGAAATTTGAAATTTTGAAATTCAAAATTATTTAACCCTTGTTCAGCCCGAGTCCAACCCAAATTGAACCCGAGTGTTGAACCCGAGTTGAACCCGAGTTGAGTTCGGGCCCGCGCCCCGCTAGAAAAAAAATGCATCAATTTTTGTACCATTTGTTTGTGTGCGTAACCCTAGCAATATGGGTGTCCTTCCTAGCTAAAGTCGACGTTCCCGACGCATTTCGACGCACTAGTGTGATCTGTTTCGCCATCCAGGGTCGTCCGGACAGACTCACCAGTGTGCAAGTCAAATCAAGTCAAAGTCGTGTGGGGTGCAGTGAGTGCGTGAATGCGGCGTTCGCGAGTATTCGATTCTCAAATAGGTTCACCTAAGGCCGTTTGATCCTATAGGAACTCATTTTTGGGCCCTCTACATGTTGGTTTTTTAGCCCTTGCAACTATAAATTGAGTGCTTGGAACCACTCATGCGAGTTCTTCACAAAAATGAGTCAAGAAGTGGATTGAAGCTCTATGGGAGGTGGGCTCCATTACTAGTTCGCTAGGATGGTCAATAAGAAATTCCTAAGGCTAGATTTTGGGTTCTGGGAGTAGGAGACTAAAACCTCACTAAAAATGAGGTCAACAATGTCTTAACCTATGTTCAATTACCCTCTCCCATAACTTTAAAGTATGACACATTAACTTAATTCCTCTATAATTTGCACATTCTTGTGCATCCCCTTTATTCTTAAAAAATGGGGACGAAAATACTCTTCCTCCACTCCTCAGACATCCTTGACTGGGCCTATCTTATTTATTTCAGATTTTTCATACCACAAAAAGGGCGGAAAAAAGCTTGCGGACTAGAAATTAGATGTCTTGAATACTATAATAAATATTTCGTTTCTAGTAGACAGACATTTGCTTTATTAAATGGTTAGACGTCATGACTTTTGCATGCTAATGGGTGAATAGTTTTCATGTTCTTTCACTTCTTAGCCAAGGTGCTTTCTTGTAACTAAATTTCATAAAGAATGTCAAAGTACTAGCTTGTTTGCATGCTTAGCGGTTAGCATAATGTGGAAAAAGATTATAATTTCATCATTTTTTTTATGTTCTGGAGTAATCGTTTATATAGAAGTTGGAATAGCATTTTGGATGCTATTTAATGTGACCAAAGTACTTGGAGTTAGGCTAGGTGAAAATGGAGTTAGGCTATCTGCGACATACACTCTTGATTCAGTTTCTACCATAGGAAAGATATGAAATGGTTCTCTGCAAAATTCTTTCAGGAATTTCAGGAATGCCCAGTTGGTACATACAAAGATGTTGTTGGATCGGATCCATCATTCTGTACTCCCTGCTCACTTGCTTCGCTTCCCCAAAGAGCAGATTTCATATATATACGAGGTAGCTTCTTGCCTAATTTCTAAAATGTGAATAGGCATTATAATTGTTTTCAAACAAATTTTTCATAGAGGTGTTTGGTTGCTGAAAAAGTTATGCAGTGTAAAAATAATATATTGTATTTGGAATACTTTGAAGTTGTTTGGTTATGTATAATAAATGCAGAACTTCACATTTTCTTGTTTTGTTTGAAGAAAATCAAAATTGATGTAAAATACTTGTTTAGCGGGCGATGGCAGCGGGTCGCTGACGGGCGAGCGTTGGCAGGGGCCGGTGGTGGGGAGCAATACTTTACACAATTTTGCATTCGAAATTCACCCAAATAAAGCGAATTCAAATACAGAAAATGAACTAGAGAATGAATTTCGACTGCATTGTATTTTTACGCTGCGTTTGGAATTCACCCTATCAAACACCTAGATTTCTGAAACTCATGCATAAAGAATGCAATGCACTCATTTTGCAGCAAACCGAATAGGCTCTTTTGAGCATATGCCCAATATGTTTCTTTTCTTGCGTTACATCGTTATTTTTTATGGAATAGATTCTTTTGAAATTTATGCAGGTGGGGTCACTCAGCCATTTTGCCCATATAAATGTTTATCAGACAAGTATAAGATGCCAAAATGCTTCACGCCACTTGAAGAATTGATATATACTTTTGGAGGTCCTTGGCCATTTGCAATTCTACTCTCATTTATATTGATACTTTTAGCACTTCTTTTAAGTGCTTTAAGAATAAAAATGGTCGGAACTGATTTTAGATATCAAACTTCAAATCCTATTCAAAATGATGGTTCAACATCTTTTCCGTGCCTTCTGTCACTGGCTGAGGTACCATTTTATTTAGGTTCATTTTCCTACACACACCACTTATGTATTTATATATCTAACACCTAAATTTAATTTTTACACTTATAACACTAATAACTTCCATCCGACATTAAAAATACCACAATTACTAACTTTTAAAGGTGACTTATAACACTAATAACTTCCATCCGATATTAAAAATACCACAATTACTAACTTTTAAAGGTGAAATACCTTGTTTCAAGCATAAATAAAGTGCTATAAATGTAAAAAACAAAATTTAAGTATTAGTTATCTAAATACACAGGAATTATGTGGTATGCATGCAGCTTTTTTTTTTTTACCAATTTTTCCGCAAATATGTGTATTACCATGAAAAATACTTCTTTGAATCGTGTAGAATTGACTTCTGATTAATAAACTAGGTTCCTGGGACTAGCAGAGCTGAAGAAACTCAAAGTCATGTGCATAGGCTGTACTTCATGGGTCCAAATACATTCAGAGAACCTTGGCATCTCTCTTACTCTCCGCCAGATGCAATTATCGGAATTGTGTAAGAAATTTTAAATTTTTGGAAGCCTTCGTTTTCAAAATGTTTGCTTTTTTGTTTACTATTAGTTTCTGGACGCGCATGCATGCTGTAAAAGTTGATCCAACCAAAGTTTTGTCAGAAAAGTATAAACGAGAGAATTTTTTAACATGTAATAAATCATTATATATATATAGTAAGGAAAAATGCAAATGTCTAAATGATACAATGGATGGATGCTGATTTCTGAATGATGCGATGGTTAATCTGTACCTTGCGAGGTTTATAATGGGACCTATATTGATGACGTCTTATCCTAAATTTCTCAAATTATCTTTTAGCAGGAATAATTTTAACTTCTGTGTATAAGATTAAGTATTTGATATTGTTATACAATCTTCCTGGAAAAAATACCATTTTTTTCGACTACGTTTCAGCGTGCGATGTTTTCTTTTTAACTCTGGGTATATGTTTGTTTAATTCTTAGAGAAAAACTTTTTTTAGGTATGAAGATGCTTTCAACCGGTTTATTGATGAGATCAATTCAGTTGCTGCGTACGAGTGGTGGGAAGGATCGGTACATAGCATTCTTTCAGTGCTTACCTATCCCTGTGCCTGGTCTTGGAAGCAATGGCGCCGAAGAAAGAAAATTCATCACCTTCAGGAATATGTTAAGTCAGTGTATGACCATACATGCCTCCGGTCTTGCAGATCACGCGCTCTTTACAAAGGGATGAAGGTTTGATTCTTATGCCGCAACACATAAGATTTCAATGCTCGGTTTTTCTTATACCGACGAATCCCCTATGTGTGCTTTTTAATTGTATGAATCAATGATATTTAATCGGATCTAAGCACTTTTGTATTATTAAACTAGCGTCTGAAATTTACACTTAATAGCTTTCTTTTGTGCTGGTTTTAGTCATTAGATAAATATGCAGAATGGTATTTGGATATTTTATCTGGTTAAAAAAGGTAAAGTTTTTTTGGATTTAATGAATTACAAACAGTAAGAGTAGAATGTCGAAATTTAGTTTTCAACCAAGATAGCCTGCTGATTTAGTTAAATTTACATAATTTCCTTGCATTACATTATATAGTAGCATTTGAAAATCCTAGTCCTCGAGACATCCTACATTAGTAGGCTTGGTTGACTAGTGACTACAACGTGGTGGTAGAACTATAATGCACAATTAGAGGATGTTTACCACAAATTTAGGGAGACAATGCTTTTATATTTCACACAATCATAAGAGAATTAATGTTCAAACTTTTTATACTATACATAGCTATAATATGTTCATCTCAAAGCCAGGGGATGGATAATGAAAGCCCACCTTAGCTCCTTCTTGGTTACCCCATTTCTATGAAGTGGAATTTTTTTCCCCCCAACACACACCCAAACGTACATATACTGTATATGCAAGGCTTTGAGCTTAGGACCTCTTAGTTGAAAAGTAGAGCTCTCAACCAATAGACCAAGATGGCTTGTATCAGCACAACTTAATTTAATCGTGGAAAAAAATTCTTCAGATTTGATTAAGTATAAAAGTAATCTTTGATTTGCTATATGGAATTTAGGTATTTTGAATGTGAAGACTATTAACTTGTAGACACAACGATTGAAAAAGTAAATAAATAATGTATTTTCTAGAAAATAAATGGCAATGGGAGAAATATAGGGACATTAGGGAAGGTAAGTAGATGTTGTTGTTTGAAGGTTAAGCAATTGGAATGGTGCTTTTGGGTAGTAAATAAAGAATTTAAGTTAAAATTTTTGAGGTAAATATAATTAGTGATGAGGAGATTTTTATTATAGTATTTTTTAACAAGAATATAATAATGTAATAAAGTTCTTGTGCTACTCAAATTGATTTGAAAAATTAATTTTGATGGGATGATAAATTTTAAATTTTATAATGGCGAAATATAATAATTATTATGTATGACTAAATGGGGGAACACCCTAGCTCTTGCAACCAAGGGCGTTCGAATTGAATCACTGCAACCAACAATTTGGTCAATGTTGTGTAGCTTACGAAGGTGCATCACATCTTGTCTTGCACTAAGCGTGGCCTATTATAGCACCGAAGAAATTTGTCTTTTCTGATTTGGTTTTTGTTGCAATATTCCTGTAATAATATTTTTTTTTTGTAGTATTTCTTATGTATGTAATTTATAGAAGAATATGATACGACTTAACCTTTAATCTTAAGCCAGAATTTTTATGAAGTTCAACTGAGAATTTGGTGATTTTAGGTGGGCTCAACTCCCGATTTAATGGTTGCATACATTGACTTTTTCTTGGGTGGCGATGAAAAACGGTTAGACGTAGCATCAACTATGATGCAGAGATTTCCAATGTGTATTATTTTTGGTGGCGATGGAAGCTACATGTCACCTTATCATCTCCATAGTGACATGTTATTGACAAATCTGCTTGGCCAGGTATCCTTTCAAGCTTGATTTTATGTTGCATTCAGACATTGTGATGTTTTCTTCAACATTATTAATTAGAAAATCATCATGGCTGCAGTATTTATCTACAGCTATTTGGACTAGATTTGTTACTGGATTAAATGCTCATTTACGGACTGTAAGACAAGGAAACATTCGTTCGGCCCTCGTCCCTGTTATATTATGGATCAACAGTCACGGAAATCCTCAGCTGGAGCCCCATGGTGTTAGAATCGAGCTTGGTTGGTTCCAGGCAACGGCTTCTGGCTATTACCAGCTAGGAATTGTGGTTACTATTAGTGAACAATTTTTCGCAAGTGTGCATCATGCAGATATCTTGGATACAAGGTAGTACTTCTACCTGATATAAATTTGATAATCTATAAATCATTTGTTTTTTATAAAGTGTGCTTCTATGCCATTTTAGAATCATTAATAGTGTTTTCATCTGATGGTTTCTATGTAGGAAAAATGTCCCGATTTCTCTTAAAAACGCTAAACAAATTCAGCAGGCCCAATCTTCAGTTAACCCAGCAACTTCACGTAAGAGATTGACTGGAGGAGTGAATGGAGGTATAATAAATGAAGCAACATTGAAGTCATTGGATTATAAAAGGGATTACTTTTTCCCCTTTTCTCTTCTACTGCAAAATACTCGACCCATTGGTCTCCAGGTAATTCTTTGGTTTAATGTTATCTCTTATGGGCTTGTATGGGCATTTACATACGTTACCGCACAATTCTCATGTATTTATATATCTAACACCTAAACATTTAAATTTACATGCATACCACTCAAATTTTTTAACATCACATAAAAAATACTACCATCATTGTCTTTTTAACACACCTTTTCATGCATAGGTTTATGACACCAAAGTGTTATAAGTGTAAATATGAAACTTTGGGTGTTAGGTATGTAAATACGTAAGAATTGTGTGGTTTGTTTGTAACTTTTCCTATCTTGTTCCTCTCTGGAACCAGTCTGACTAGTGAATGTTTTTTGAATTTTCATTTTTGTATATACAAATGATTATTTTTTCAGGAGACCGTGCAGCTGCTGATCTGTATAATGATATTGGCTGATTTCACCATTACCCTTCTCACGTTGGTTCAGTATTACTGGATTTCATTGGGGGCTTTCCTTGCTGTCTTGCTGATTCTCCCATTATCTTTGCTCTCACCTTTTCCTGCTGGGTTAAATGCTCTTTTCAGTAGAGGACCTCGAAGATCTTCTCTTGCTCGAATTTATGCATTGTGGAATGCTACATCTATGTCAAACATAGTAAGTTTTTTGACCTGACGAGAGCTTTTGGAATTCACAATGATAGTAAGAAAATACAAATATTTTTTATTGGATTTTGGAATTTTGATTCCCTTAAAAAACAATGCTGATTTGTTATTTATTTTTTTTAGTAGTTTCTATCTAATTGGGTGGCCTTTTTCTTATTACTTTTCTGCAGCAAATCTAATATTGGTTTGAGACTTAATATTTGCCCAATTTTTTTTCCTCCATTGGGTTATGTTAATTGTGGGGGACTTTTCAATTAATCATTGCCTATTTCTCATTCAAATTATGTTAACTTCTGGAATGTTACTTTTGGAGATTTTCTAGTAAAGCATTGCATGGACTACCAATGGCGTTTTTGTTTGATTTCAGTATCTCAGTTTTTTATTATTTTCTGAAGGTTTTTCCTTGGAAAACTGATGTAAAAATACCAGTCTTTAGCTGATATTGATCTAGAGCTCCTAGATGGTATTTGGGAAGCAAATTTTGTGGAGTGGTGGTTATGGAACAACGAGGGAATGGAGTACGGGGGTTTGACGGTGTTTGGATGAAGATAGGCGTCATCGATGGCTATCCCGACTGAAATAAATTTAGAAAACTTAGAATTGACGATGTGAGGGCGACGAAGAGCTTCCACTACCTATTCTTTGGCAAGATACGTGCACAACATTTGCAAGCTGCGACAGGAATATGATACAACACTCTAATAGAGATAACCAGGTGAAAACATCCAAATAACATAAACCAAATCAAATGTCCTCAAAAACAGAAAATAACATATAAATAGTCTAGCTAGAATAAAGAAATATGAAAGAACTGAAAAAGGAAACAAAATGTTGTAGAAGTTGGACCGCGGCAGGATCGCTTCCTGCGATCGTGGGAAGATTTGTGTTCTCGCGGTATATAAGGGAAACCACATCCTCGACGAGGCGCATCTTGTATCATTCTCTCCGAGTAGGAGGAGCTTCATCTTCTTCTCAAGAATCTTCTAGAGTCAATCTAACAATCATGATAAAGTCATTGTCTTGTTGTGTTTGAGGTAACTCCACTGCAAAATTTGTACTCACGTTCATTTGAGGGAAGTCCAAAACACATGTCCTTAAGATTGTCTTGTTAAAATAAATGTTCTTTCTTTTTTGGCACAACCTGAACTGGAATGGTACATAAACAAGTATTTTCATGAACCATGTATTGAGCCATTAAATTTGTAGCATGATTTTCTCACTTCTCGTACTCTTATGAGTATATTTGATAAATAAGTATGCAGGGAGAATCAATTATGGGATGAAATCTATAACAAATTGGGCAACTCTCAATGAAAACCACTTAGGAGAGGCCTCTTCTTCTTTGGAAGGACCTAGATCCATCTATACGATGTTCTTTCCAATAAAATATTCGTCAAATTTTTTTGAGGTAGCATCTCACTACTCTTTTCTGGCTATCTATTTGGGATGACATTGCTGAACTAAACTAAAATTTAACACTCACATTACTTCATATAGCATTCGAGAAATAGCTCAAAATTGGCTCATCTCTGACATATTAGACCCGCTTCAGCATTGGCGACCAAGAGATAGACTGTATATCTGAAAATCCTGAAATTCTCTTAATCTGAGCTTGCCATGTGTTTGATGATGGCTCCTTGAACTCATGAACCTTAAACTACTAATGTCAATACTGTTGATGCTTCGCTTTATGCCTGCAAAAAGGTAGTTTGTGAGACCAAATCTTCAAACTTTGTCCGAACGTTCATTATCTCAGACTCACTACCTTCTTGAACAACTAGTGTTAATATACCGGGAATCACTGAATTATTCTCTCACAGGTTAAACTTGAATCACTAACGCCACTTCCTTGTCGACTGAAAGTTGACTCCTCTCCGAAGGCTTCAACCTCTCTCGTGTAATTACTCATTTCATCACTTTCTCCCGGCTCAGTGAAAGAGACCACTCTCTTATTTCGGCTATCAGATGCACTGTGCTCAAAGGTGTGGCACTTGAAACACTTATTGAATCAGACGAATTTGGGATTACTGTTCGGCTCCACCTATTCTCCACTTTGAACCTGTTTCTCCTCAGACGGGGTTGGTTGTGATGTCCCACTGAGTGTACTCTTATTGCTTGATCCTGGGGTTGAATTTTCCTGTAAGATGTGGCAATCATTTGGTGTTATTTTCTCTCCACCTTTGAACCTAGGGTCTGAATATCCTGTAATGTCCAATAGGGTTGTAACTGGACCACATTGCCAATGGACGATCCAATCCTCTCATATATTGAGCTATGGTTTTCTCTTCGAGCTTCACTTGCAGACACTTCAATATAAACTGCTCGAATTCAATTGTGTACTTTACTGAGAGATCTTGTTGCTACAACTTTTCAAGCGCCAAGAACATGTTTTGTTTATAATTCATTGGTAGGTACCTGCGTTCCATCTCGAACCAGATATTAATTTTACTACTCTCTTCTCGATGTCGAAGAATCTTCAAGTTCCTTCACCACAAATATGCACTCTTCTTTAACTTAATGGATGTGCTAGCTTCACCATTCTATCAGGTAGAATAACATTGTATTCAAAGACACATTCTACTGTCGGGAGCCATTAAATGAATTCTTTCAGATCTCTGCGACCGTTAAAATTTAGTATATCGACTTTAGCTCCAAGTTGAAGACTTCTCCTTTGATATTTCATGCCAAATTTTGGGGCAGCAGTTCTTTATCACTGGAAACTACCTGGTGGAAGAGATTCACTTCATCTTTTTGATCTGACAAGTTATCATTGTGGCAACGGGTGGCCTCTCCAGATTGTCTTTTCTCAGTTTGAGGATTTTCTGCTGCATAACCTCTATAGAATGTTTTTGGACCCCTCTTTGCAAATTTCTCATAAGCGGGATTGTATCCTTTTCTCTCGATCATATTTCTGGTGAATGTAGGACTGTGTTTCATGATTGATCGAGGTTTAGGGTTTTAGTGGAAAGTATTCAGACAAATTTTTGGTGAAAGGTAGAAATTTTTTATTTAAAAAATTTAGGGTTAGGGCTAAGAATTGCGGTAGAAATGATTTATGCTGTGATTTATTATTATTTTTTTTTTGAATTTCAGGTTGAGATAAAAAAGACAATCAAAAAAATATAGGGCTTGTTGCGCTCTAATACCAAATGATACTGATTTGCGGCTTGTAGACGGTATTTGGGAAGTGGATTTTGTGGGGAGTTGGTTCTGAAATAGTGAGGGAATGAAAGATGAGGACTTTGATGGCGTTTGGGCAGAGATAGGCGTAGATCAACGTCTGCCCCGGCTGAAATCAGCTGAGAAAACCCCGACTTGGTGATGTTAGGGCGGCGAGGAGCTTCCATCACCTGTTCCTAGAAAAGATACAGACACACCACTTGCAACAGAAATATTATACAATACTCCAATAGAGATAATTAGGAGTGAGGAGAAAACCCATTCAAAAGCCATCGAAAAGAGAAAATAAAAACATATAAATAGTTCCGGCTAGAAAGTAACCTTAATAAGGAACAAGGAAATTTAAAAAAAATGAAAAAGGGAAAAAAAATATTGCAGTTGGACCGGGGCAAGATGGCATCCCGCGATCATGGGAAGATTCGCGATCTTCCGGCATACACGGGAACCCACATGTCTGAAGAGGCGCATCCCACATCATTGGCTTTATTTGTTATGGCAGTTATGCACTTTGCATGATATGTTACGTAACTGTTAAACACTTGCGCATTACCTAATCTAGCCGTTGGGCTTAAACAAAGATAGATTTATGCCATAATATTTCTTTTTTTTCGTATTAAGATTCCTGAATATTTATTTCTTTTCTAATGGGCCTCTTTTACAAAATCTGTTTTTTTACTTCTGTAGGAATTTTCTATTTCTTTTGTTAAACAAAGGACATCTTTTTGTGTTGCTTTCTGTATCTATCCTCATTGAAGTTTTTCTGTGAGCATATATCCATAAAATCTTTTTTATGAACTTGTTTGCCTCTCATGTTCCTAAGTAACTGTTTTTTAGTCGTTGACTTAGTGCCCTTGGAGAAATCAGTGCATATTCGATATCAAGGGAACTAAAATAATACTGGTTGAACGCTGCAAATAAAATGTTGAAACTTAAGATTATGGCAATTTTCAGTTGTTAGTTAGTTTCCAAGGATCGTGCAAATCTGTGTTTTTACAGTTGGTGTTTTTCTTTAAGAAGTGTTACTACGCTTGAAAAGGTATAGAAATAGATTAGGAAGACTGTTATATTGATGGCATGCATGAGAACCATTCCCTGCATTCGAATGATTGTTTTCATATATTCTGTGCGGCCATCTTATTATTAAAAAAATGATAGGTTCTTATAAAGTGTCATATAAGTTTCCTAATTATTTTAATATGAGGATAAAATAGTCTTATAGAGGATTATATTTAAAAGTCTGGGGACTGAATAGTCACTTTATAGACTCTGGGATTAAATTGACCCCTTTTGACACTTTCCACTCTTATATTCCAATACGAATTACTTTTTGAGATCCGATCATGGTTGTTTAAAATGGAGCTTGCCCTCTGTATATATTCTGTTACTGCGGCGTTTAAATTCCAAGTGCTTTTGTGTTCTAAGATCTAAATCCATAGAGAGAAAATTGAGTGTTTTGTACCTGTAGTTGCATGGTTTTGCTAAGAATTTAGTAGGAGAAAATCTAGATAAAAAGGGTAAACATGACTTCAATGTTCATCTTTGAGAACAGATTTGTGGTATTCATTCTTTTTTTTTTAATGGATATTTCTGCTGCTCTTCTGCTGTAACCTTGTACTTTCTGTGATGATCAAGAGTAAATTCTTGCAGATTGTGGCCTTTGTTTGTGGATTTGTATACTGTGGATTTTCTTCATCCGAGACGGCTGCTGGGCAGCATACATCAACCATTAGACGGTGCGTTACATTTTATATAATCCTGTAGTATTTCTTCTCTATAGTTCCAATGCAAAATACTGATTCAACTGCTCGAATTGTGTTATACTCGTTTCATGATTTTGTTAAGCATTTATCAGAGCATGCCACATTTGACCTTAATGTTGAAGGCTCTATTTGGGGCAGCTGCAGAGCTGCTGCGGGGAAGCTGACTGGATATTTGTTGCAGCTGTGTGAAAACGGCTGTGGGGCAGTTGTTTCTAGAAAAATGACAATTCTGCCCCCGTTTAGTTAAACTGTTTGAAACAGAACAATGAGAGTCCTATATATAATACAACAGAATCAGGAATTCACTTTACAAGCAAAAAATGTAAAAAATAGACTTCTATCTTGAAAAAGCGTTTATTTAGAGTGATTTTGTATTATTTTCCACATTCCTTCTGTAGAAGCTTGTGAAAAGCTTATGAACTTAAGTCATTTAAATCAAACAAAACGATACATATTATTGAAAACAAAAACAATGAAGCTCTACCATTTAAACTAGAAGCTTCTGACAAATTCATTACCACATCATCCATCTCTCCCACTTGAACATAGTTTTGAGCAAGTTTTTGGAAGTTTTCAGGGTCCTCATCTAATTATTGTTCATGGAAACTCAAGTTAAAACAAAATGAATTAGAATGGATGAGAAGAATTATAAAATTTATTGAATAAATAAAAAACAGCAGGTATTAGAGGATCCTTACAACATTGAATTACAGCTTTGAAATATTTGACTTCCTATACCTGATAATTTAGATCCCTTGCTTTTTCTTCCAAGGGCAAACTTGAACATGCCTCAGCAGAAATAAACTTCTCTATCTACTTTCCTAAGTTATAGGTTCAAAACATCGCATTTTAAGATTTTACCTCAAATAACAAATTCCAGTTTTCTTGTCAGTCATGTAATAAAAAACCCACCAAAAATGACTACAGGGATCATGAAGACCTAAAAATGAAGTTCACACGAATCATCCCAAAATAACAACAGAAAAAAACATATAATAACAGAAGCATTTAAACCAAAAATAACCTCATCACACAAATGATGTTGTATTAAACCGTTAAATGCACAAATAACCTCATCACACATTTGACTCAGAGAATCTGCTAGCATGAAAAAATGGTATTCTTGATCTACTTGGAAAGATAGCTAGATCAGAAGGCAACAACATCAAGAAGATGGTATTCTTTATTATTCCAGTTTCTGTCTGATTTAACCAGTAATCGATACAAATGATCTTCACATCCTGCAATGTCAAACAACATACTAAACCAAAAATCCTATGGAAGTTTCCTCAAAAGCACATTTTAAAATAATTTTGAAAGTTTCTCAAAATAATTGCATAATAACGTGATTCAGATGTTACAAAAAACATTATGCCCAATCCAGAAAATTTTGAAAGTTTCTCAAAACAATTGCATAAATTATAAAGGCAAGTATTCGGATGGTATCTTAAAGTGCATGAAAAACCAAAAAAATAAAAAAAAAATATGATTTTCTCAGTGATATTTTTTTCTAAGAACTCAATACGATTGCAACGTTCCCCTTTTCTTCTTTTCCCTGCCTCTTCATCGTCCTAGCCAGGTGTAATTATACTCAACCCAGAAAAGATGCACTACTGATGAGAGCATACAAGAAACAAGAAAATTAAACAAGATTAAATTGTGTGACGAATTCTCACATCCCCAACAAATTTGGAATTAAAAACCCTAGCTACCCTTACCTGTAAATTCTTTTATTCTCCATGTCGACTGAGATGCATAGTTTCTGGTGAAGGACTCCTCCGGAACTCTCCGGTTTCTGTTCGTCTCTTTTCTGCTTTCTGGCTTTGCTGAACGAGAGGCAGAATCGAGGGCACCGGGGTAAAATGCCAAAGAAGAGAAGCGGGGCCGTGGGAGGGAAGTGGGGCCGCGGGGTCGATCCCGCGGCCCGCTTTTCGTTTAGATTCGCGGCCGCCGGAGGTGAAACGCCGCTCCAAACGATCTTCTTTTGCGGCCTCCCGCCGCCCCGCAGGGATAAAGCCGCGCCAAACCGACCCGAAATCATGTGGTCATGGTCGGACATAGTAAGCTTCGATTGGCTTTTCATGTATCAAAGAAAAGTTTAATGCTTTTAAATTCTTCTGGCAGATTTACATATGTACCACTCAATTTCTATGTATTTACATATCTAAACTTCAATTTTAACACACACGCCACCTAACCTACGTATGAAAAGTTGTATTTCACTTTTTATTTTTAAAAGTTAAAAAGGTGTTATTTTTGATGTGATATGAAAGAATTAGTTGGTATAAAATGTAACGAGTGAAGTCTAGGTATGAGATTTGTAAATACATAGGACTTGGGCAGTATGCATGTAAATGTTCTTATTCTTTTTGAAGCTAGCTGGTTGATCAACATGGCTGAGTTGACAGACAACCCAACAAATAGACAACTGCATGATACAATTGCACTGCTATTCCAATATGTTTTGGATCAATTGGAAGCATCAGAATTTTAAATCTTTGTTTTCTTTTTTTTTTATTTTAATGTCTATAATAATTATATTTCAAAAGCTTATGCCTCTAATTAATAGTTTTTCATTCATCTGTGAATAGGGAGGACAATGAATGGTGGATTCTGCCCACAATCCTTCTACTAGTAAAGTCATTCCAAGAGGGATTAATAAATTGGCACGTTGCAAATCTGGAGATTCAAGACTTGACATTATTTAGTCGTGACCCAGAGAAATTTTGGGCAATATGAAGAAGATTCAGCGCCAGATAGTTTGTTGCTGTAAATATATTTATATGTCCATTTTGTAAATTCCTTTTTTGCCGTGGCCTGTTTTTGCAAAGGTCTTCCAGGAAAGTTCCAGAAAGAAAAATAGAAAAGAAGAGAAATTAAATGAGTGATTTCCCCACTTGTGAACCCTGCAGCCAAGGAGTTGACCATGTTTCCACCACCGATGGTCTGTTCGTTTCTTGAGATATTGATATCACTATCATGGAGTTTTCCTCATTATCATATTTGATACCAATGGTCTGTTCATATTTTAATACTGAATGCAACTTGAAGTGGCAGAAGCATATGTCAACCTGGTTTTAGTGATCATATCAACTGTTGTTTCATGTATTATTTATTATTTAATTCTATTTCTGACTGATTTCATTCCTTTGGCTGCTTATTTTATTTTTGTTGTGCGGTGTTAAGCTTGTTGACATTTCTCTCCTCAATGATCCAGGTTCAAAACACATCAAATTTTAAGTCTTAATATAAGATAGGTAGTACTTTGTGTATTTAGCAGATCTAACGTATGAGATTTGAATGATAGCTATAAGATGATTGTTTCTCGTCAATTGTTGGTGAGAATATTTCAAATTCATTAAATATTTGTGCTGTTTGATTTAAAATAAAACAAATGCAAAAATTAATTTTAAGAATAAAAGATTATATTCTGACAAAATATATTAAATTCAAGGGGATTGAACTCGGAAATAATTAATGGTGGGTTTGAAGAATTGTGTTGGACTTGAGCTTGTGTAAGCACATTGTTGTTTTGGATGATTTATTGTAAGAAATAGAAGTAAAGCTTCAATGCTTATAAAATTTGATGCGATGCAGGGACCATCTGGTCTGGGCTTTGGGCTGGTGATGAGTCTTTGTCAAACTCTTAATAATTTTACTCTACAATTATTTTACCCATTTGGCATCCAGGAAATTTTCATTTTATTTTCAATTAGTGACATGAGATAAGGTGACCTTTTTGCATTCTAGTATATGTATATGGGCATACTTGTTTCTATTCTTTAATTGCTTTTTATAATAGCTCGGAAGCATTGTGGATGGAAATTTTTTCGACCTACAACAAAGACAGATAAGCCTTTATCCAGCTAAGTCGGTCGTCGGTCAACGACATGAATCCTTTTCTCTCCATTGTTTCTTTTTGAGTGTCATTATTTCATTTAATTCTAATATGTTAATATCATTTTTTATAAAGTATGCCAATGTCTTTTCAGGTTTATCTCTTCCTTTCTTAACATAAGTTGATTCTAAAACATTTACTCTCCTAATCAGATCATCAAGATTGTAGGTGTTTGATGCGATCAAACTGTCTAAGACGGATATATTCATTTTGCATTTCGTCTCTAAGTGTGAAGCCACTCATCCACCTATGCATTGTCATCTTAGCAGAACTTAGCTTTCTTTCGGATCTATGCTTCTACGTCATTGAGCATTGCAGGTCTCACCACCATCTTCTAAAATTTTTCTTCCAAGTCTAAGTGGTACTTTTCTATCGCACAATAGGCCACATGCATTCCTCCATTTCAACCAACCAACTTGAATTCTACTAATAACATCCCATCTATATCACCATTATTTAATTTGAATAATAGACCCGAAATGTCTACAACTTTCATACTTTTTTAAGGATTTGATCACCCATTATCAAAACTCTGTCACTAGAGTTACAATTACTAAAATTAAATTCAATGTAGTCAGCCTTAGATCCACTCAAATTAAAGCCTTTAAACTCTAATATCAACCTTCATAGGCCAAGTTTTTTCCTGAACTCTTTCTCTATGCTTATCCATCAAAAGGATATCATCAACGAAAAATATGCACAAAGATGCATCATCCTATAAATGTCTAGTAAGAGTGTCCATAACTAAAGCAAAACGATATAGGCTTAAAGCCAATCCTTGATGTAATCCGACTGAAATAGGAAAATATTCAACCTATTCGTAGTAAAGCAAATCACCAAAATTTATTGTGAGAGCCAAATCATCATATATCTATATGAATATTTGATGCAAATATAAAATTTGGAGTAAAATAATCTTATAAAATTTAGATGCATTTACATACATATCACATTATTCTTATGCATTTACATATCTAACATATAATTTTAAAAGTAAAGCACACTTTTTTGTGCATAAATTTATGACTCAAAGATATTAAAGGTATAAATATCAAATTTAAGGTGTTTGATATGTAATAATATAAGAATTGTGTGATATGCAAGTTAAATTTCCTCAAATTTAAAGGAAACGGTTTTTTATTTTATATAAAAATAAATAAATAATTGGAAATATTCAATTATTATTCATCAAAATGGTGGCGTTATAAATTTAAAAAAGTAAAAATCGGGTTTTTTATGGACAAATAAAATATATAACTCCTTCCTCTCACAAAATCAGAGTGGCGCAGCGGAAGCGTGGTGGGCCCATAACCCACAGGTCCCAGGATCGAAACCTGGCTCTGATATGAGATAAAGGCTGCCGCTCCCCTTTTTAATCTTTTAATTTCATCATTTCTCTTCGGTGCCTTCTCTAAATTTAAAATTAATGAGGGTATAAAGGTAAAAACAAAAATTTCATGAAGTTCAAGGCGGCATTTCTTTATTTGGCAGTAGATTAATAATGGTTCATATTAATCGACTTTGTACGGTTGAGTATTTATCATAAAAATAAATTAAATTTTTAATGTTTTTTTTTTGTTATTCAACATTCAGGAATGAAAATATTTTCCTTTCTTATGTTTATTTTTAAATTTCATAATATCAATGATTAAATATTTAATAATATAACCCCTAAATTTTAGAGAGCCTTAATGTGTATCTTTGCTTAAAGGTGCGTTTGGGGAGTTTGTGCGTTTCACGATAAGCTGTTTATCCTGAAACACAGACCGCGGGTGGGCCCTCGACCTGCGTTTAGTGTAAGAACCCAAACGCGGATTCATATAAGATGACAAAACGCGCAAATCAAACGGTACGGTGGCGTTTTCAAAACGTCTTCCGCACTTATAAGCTGCCCCAAACGGACCCTAAATTTTACAAATAGATTGCTTTCATGACTTTTAAATCACGGCGTCTAAATAATAATGACTTCAATACAATCTATCCACCAAGCCTCAAGTCAATCTTTCTTGTAATGCTGAGTCCACAAATGCCACTAAAGTGACAAGATAGCATCTAGATTTTCTTTTTTTTCATTTTATTTTGAGGGGAACACATATTCTCTCCTTATTATTATATTATTTTTAGCAAATATAGATTGTTAGGTGTGAGTTGAGAATCATTTATTGAAGCATTCCAATATTGAGGTCAAAGGAAGGCATATAGTGCCCATCCTCTAGAGTGAAGCTTCTATTATTGTTATTTTTTTAATTTGAGTATTAAAATATAAATTTAATGTAAGAAAAGATTTGATTAGATGACTTTTGAACCTAGTTATTTTTATAAAGTAAATTAATGTACACCTACATGATTTTAACTTCTCCACATCTATATTTATTTATGTAAATCTTCTTTCAAATTGGTTAAGTTGCTTCATGTTGATAAAAACTCCTTGAGGTCAAATGGCATAATGTATATGCACACAACTAACTTGTTTAAGAATAAAAATTGACGACTAATGCACGATAATGAAATAATAAACTCAACTTGGAATTCAATCTGTCGAATCACAATTGGTCTGATTAACTCATTAGCCAAAGCATCTAAAATTAATCTCTAATGAGCTAGAATAATGGGTATGGGGTAGAGAAAAGTAAACAACCCATCTTATGCAGGGCACTCATATGAGACCGTTTATCACATAAAATTTGATTGATTTATTTTGCAATTTGCCATTGAACATAATGTTATATCATCAGCTTTAGTTGCATATATCTATTTTTATTTTATTTTCTTAAATTACTTTTATTTGTCATGTTAATTTACTTCTTATTTCATCTATTTATTTTAGATCGATAAACTTTTGGGTGAAAGAATATAGTTGTACAATTGTTAAGTCACTAATCTCTTGCACGGAAATTTTATTGCTTGGTATGCATTTTTGGTTAGGCCAACCACACAAGTAGCTTTTTGATCTTTTTGGGGCATGCATTGGATTACCATGGACATGGTTAGGTGCTTTTGAGATTCTTGCTTGCTTGAAAATCACTTGGCAATACAATTCATTCAAACAATTGTTGGAGTCATTGTTTGCCATGGAAAAAAGCCGAAAGATATGTGTCTTGCATCATAAATGGGGAAGGAGAGACACGTGTTCATGTATACATGTGAAGGAAGCTTCCATACAGGTGTTGTAAATTCTTTTGTGCTTGATATTTTCATGGATGACCACCTCTTTTTTATGTTATGATTTCTGTTTGAAAAAAAAAAAAAACCCTTAATTTTTAAGCTATTTTTTGGTTAATTTATTGGAAGTTTTATGAATTATTTCTTTTAGCATTGCAATCATCATATTTTGAATATACATAGAGATTATTCTCTCTTTTGAATTTGATATCTTGTTTGTTTCACTTTTTTAGATGAAGATGACTGAGACCCGTCTTTGATAAGAAAGTGATAGTTATACTTTTACCTTTTAACTATTTTGCACAAATCTCATTGTTCTCTCTTCTCAAGTAATATTCAATATAACATGAAGACTCATAATTAAAATTACTTAGCATTAGTTATGACTTGAATTCACAACTTCTCATAAACATAACTACTATTTTGTCAATCGGTCACGTACTCATTTCGTGCATGAGTATTGGCATGATTGTCTACCTTCATTTCATGTTTTGATTATTTTTTTTCCAAATCCATCTTTTTATATTCAAATGTTTTTTAAGTTTTTTTTGTCAATGTATTAGATGTTTTATACATAACTTTGCATTTTATTATTTTGAATAAAATTAGAAATTATTTTCTTTTCAAATTTAATTTGGTGGCAAATTTATTTATTTATTGTTGTTAAAGTTGAGTGAGACCCATCCTTGGATGAAGAAGTAATAATTATCTAAGTTTTTTTTGTTACTTTACATAGCAGAGACTCTTGTTTAAAATATATTAGTTTAAAGTTATAATTTGAAATCATAACTTCTTATAAACTTAATTAAATTGTTACCAATGAAAAACATACTCATTTGTTTATATTATATATAAACTATAAACAAATACTACTATTTCTTAGCTACTTTATTTATTTTCAAACTCAAGTTTAATTTTTCAGCTTGACTGGCACTCACTTGAAGTTAAAATAAAAAAAATATTTATGGCTTGATCATGATCTCTTTATTTTATTTTCTTCTTTTATTTTAAAATAAGTTTTTTTAATACATTATTTTCATGTTTGAATTTTTTTTGTTTTTAAAAGATAAACTAGATTGCTTCTATAAACA